GACAGAGTGAGACTCCAACTCAAAAAAAGAAAGAAAGAAAGAAAGTGGCCCTCGCAGGTGGTTCTAGGGAAGACCTGGGCAAGAGCAGAGACCCAGCGGAAGCAAGAAGAGCGTCCCAGATGGCGTCAGGTGCCCTTACAAAACAGACCACCTTCCCAGAGCTTTGCAGAATGGATAGGGCTTCCTTGGGCAGCCAGGGAGGGCTTTGAAGGAGGGGTCCCAGCCAACAGGCCATGCAGGATGGGGCTGCAGTTCCCCAAGGTGGCCTCCAGGTGACAGAGTGGCTCCGGACAGAAGGTCTTCAGGAGCTGGGGAAGAAAGTTCTTTATTCTCCCTTTTGAGCAGTGCTTGGACGGGCCTGAAGCCCCGGGGCACCCAAGGAGCGGCAGACGCAGCCTAGGAGGGCGGGAGGGAAGGCAAGCATCCTCGCTTGACAGCTGCTTGGAGTTTCCCAGGGTCCCCGGTGTCCCCACCCTCCCAGTGACTGCCACCCTGCTGGGCCCTTGAGAGTGGAGCCCTGGGCCCAGGGCTGTCCCAGCAGATGGACATTCTTTTTTTATGTTTTGTTTTTAGAGACAGGATCTCACTCTGTCGCCTGAGCTGGAGTGCAGTGGCGCAAACACGGCTCACTGCAGCTGCGATCTCCTGGGCTCAGGAGATCCTTCAACTTCAACCTCCTGAGTAGCTGGGACAAGACGTGCCACCACGCCTGGCTCATTTTTTTTTTTTTTAATTTTTAGAGACAGGATCACGTTCAGGCTGGTCTCAAATCCCTGACCTCAAGATATCCTTCCAACTCGGCCTCCCAAGTAGCTGGGACTACAGGCACATGCCACCATGCTTAGCTCATTAATTTTTAGAGATGGAGTCTTGCTATGTTGCCTAGGCTGATCTTGAACTCCTGATCTCAAGCGATCCTCCCACCTTGGCCTCCCAAAGTACTTGGATTACAGATGTGAGCCACCACCCCCAACCCCCTGATGAACACTCATGAGGGAGCTTGGCACCATGGGAGCGGAAAGAATTGTCTCCCACTCTAGGCTGGGGTCACTTTGGACCCGTCCCTTTCCCCTGCCCTAGTGAACCAGGAATCTAGGCTTACAACCGGGTGTTCATCTGATGGCCCAGAAGTGCCTCGTCTTGAGATCAGGTGAGCTGCGATTGGGGTAGAAGCCCTGTGCGGTGGCCCAGGCGGGACCAAGCAGCCTGAGTCTCTCTTGGCTGCAAAGCATGAGACAGCCCTCCTGGGCACACTCCCACTCAGAAACTTTGTATCCAGTGCCTACGGTGTGACCGGGCTTTGTGGCTCAGCCTGGCATCCCAGCACTTTGGGCGGCCGAGGCTTGTGGATTGCCTGAGCCCGTGGGGTCGAGACCAGTCTGGGCAACTGGGCGAGCCCTCGTCTCTACAATAAATCAAAAAATTAACTGGGCGCGGTAGTGTGCACCTGTGGTTCCAGCTACTTGGAAGGCTGAGGCGGTAAGATGGCCAGAGCCCAGCAGGTTGAGGCTGTGGTGGCCGTGAGCGTGCCACTGCACTCCAGCCTGGGCAACCGAGTGAGACCCAGACTCAAAAAAAAAAAAGTGCCTACGGTGTCCCAGGCACCTGACGATGGGTGAGACAGACCATACAACATTCCAGTCCCAGCGCTCAGAGTCAAGATCAGGGGGCTGGCCGCGGCCCACGGCCAGATTTTGCCACCACCTGTCTCGTGTTAGGCTGTACTGGAATGCAGCCACGCCCATTCACTGGCTGTGAGTTGTGGATCTTTTGTGCTACGAAGGCCGAGCTCAGTAGGGGCGACAAAGCCTGGGCGGCCCACAGAGCCTGCAGTGTTTATTGTCTGGCCCTTTACAGCAAGCATTTACTGACCCCCGGTGCAGAAGAGGAGACAGGAAAGGAAGCAGTCAGGTCACCAGAGCAGGTGTGAGGGTGGAGGTGGGGGCAGACGAGTGATGGAGCTGGGCTCTGCCCTTTAGGCCTCTGAAAGGCCCCTGCAGTGGCCACAGGGAGCCGTGGAAGACATTTGAGCAGGAGTGGCGTGATCATATCCCGGGGGCCGTTATGTGGAGAGGGGGTAGGGTGTGAGCCGGGGCACAGCAGCAGAGCCAGAGCCCAGGGGGGAGACGGTGACAACCAGGAGGGAGAAGAGAGGCCCACCCAGGGGCTGGAGAAGGGCCTGGCGTGGGCAGGATATTAGAGCGTGGGTAACGGCATTTGAGTCTTGGGCGCGGGGGCCTGGGCTGAGCCTGTGTCCAGGCTTTCCGGGGATTATGCAAAGGCTCACTAAGCGCGGCCAAGCGTGGCAGTGATCACACCACACAGATCACGAGGAGAGCCCTTTGCTTCTAAGACAGGAAATGAGACCCAGGGAGGCCAGCCCATCTGCCGTTTTGGAGTTCCATGCTCTGCACCCTTATCTGGCTGCTTTTACTGACCCCCGGTGGAGAGTGACCGAGTGCTAGGGGCCGTGAGACAGTGAAATCATGCCCAGTGATTCCCCTGTCCCTGTCATTTCTCTAAGCTGCAATTTTCACACCTGCAAAATGGCGATAATGACTTGTCCTGGCCTGGCTCTCAGTCTTGCTGCAGTGAGGTGACTCACAGGGAAGCACTTGATAAACACAGCATGCTATTGTTCCTTTTATTTTATTATCACTATTATTATTATTTTTTAGAAATAGGGTCTAGCTATGTTGCCCAGGCTGGTCTTGAATTTCCAGCCTCAGCCTCCCAAAGTTGGATTATGGGGATGAGCCACCATGCCTGGCCCACAAACCATTTTAGATATCCAGAGAGCATGATCCCACAGGGAATCACACCATGAACCCCCACCATAGTGCTATATAGTAGGGGTCGAGAAATCCAAGTCCCTGTAATGCAAGGCTGGGTTATTCCAAGCCAATGAGTGAAGGGGCCAGACACGCGCAGCCGGCAGCCCGTTCTCAGGTCCACTGCCCTGGACTGTCTGTCCCAGCCCTGGCTCTGGGTTGGCATCACCTAGCGGCGGTTGCCTGCTGTGCCTGAAGCCTCAAGGACATTCTGGGTGCTGGGACTTTCCTTGGGACTTCCAAGGTGGATGCAGGCTCCAGGGCTCCCCCAACTGGTGCCATTTTGTTGGCCTGATTGGAGAAAGTTGAGGCGCAGGGGCCCAACCTCTGCCTCCCACTTCCAAGTCAAGGGTCCCTATGGTTTTCCCGCCAGTCTCCCCCTCTGCTTCCTGCCCGACCCATGAGAATATCGGATGACAACTCTGTTATGTACAAAATCCTGTTACCTTGGGATACGTCGCCTGGGTTTTTACTGAATGAACTTCTCCTGAAGAAGGAGTTGTCCTTCAGAATCTGTGTTGACCGCATGATCTACTTGCAAAGGACATAGTGTATGCATATATGTGTGTATGTGTGCACGTGTGTGTGCTTGTGTGTATGGACACAAACACATCGGTATGGGGTGGGGGCTTGGGGGAGTAATGTTTGCTCAGCTATCCCGGCGTCTCTCAGTCAGATGACATTCAGTAAGCCAGGCATGATGGCTCACATCTGCAATCCCAACAATTTGCGAGGCTGAGTTAGGAGGATCGCTTGAGCCCAAGGGTTTGAGACCTGCCCGGGCAGCATAGTAAGACCCCGTCTCTATAATCAAAATGAAATAAATGATAAGATTTTTAGAAAATAGAACAGACTCGGTGGCTCAGTCTGTCATCCCAGCACTTTGGGAGGCCGAGGTGAGTGGATGGCCTGAGTCTACGAATTTGGGACCAGGCTGGGCAACTTGGCAAGACCTCGTCTCTACAATAAATCAAAAATTAGCTGGGCATGATAGCACGCACCTATAGTTCCGGCTACTCGGGAGGCTGAGGCAGAAGGATCGCAGGAGCGTGCCACTGCATTCCAGAGTGAGCAACGGAGTGAGATTCCAACTCAAAAAAAAAAAAAAACAGACAGATGACACTCAATAAATCAATGACTCCCACTGAGAATCTTTTTTGTTCCAACCGCTGAAATGAACCCAGCCTTCCTGTAGGACCGCCTTGAAACGCCCCCCTGGGGCTGCCATCTTCCCTGGCTGTCTTCTTGAATAAGACGAGCATGCTCAGAAGGTCCTGCACATGGTGGGCTTTGAACCCTGTCTAATGCCCCTTCCTTCTGGAAGCATGGTGGAA